GAGAGAGAGAGAGACCTTACACAGCTCAAACTTACAATTTCACCTATAACCTCTTACCAGATCTCAACCAATCATAGAGTAGGGCTTATCTATTCTCTATAAGGCTCCATCGAGTACCTTAAGGGTCAAATCACCTCCTTAAGTTGCTCTTTTAACTACCCATCTCTCTTTACGTGGCTGGTTAGCGTCTCTAGAAATCACAGTGTGTGTGTGTGTGTGTGTGTGTGTGTGTGTTACGTAACCTATTTGTCTGTCACGCGTTCACACAATCACTAGTTGTTGGCTTATCTGTGTTTATCAATCATGCTATACAACTGGAGTGTGTGTGTGTGTGTGTGTGTGTGTGTGTGTGTCTCATTGCTACACTCCAAGGTACACTTTCACCTACACACCACCCCCACCAACACATCCACATACACACACCTACCTGTACACACACACACACCTACACACCCCCCACACTCACACACCCACACACCCACACCCACACACCCACACCTACACACACACACCCACACCTACACACACACAACCAAACAATTACCGGATTCAGAACTTTAAGAGGTCAGAATGCCTTAAAATACCTGAGTTAAATTGTGATAAAAATAGAGATTCTTAGAAGTTGTGGCTGTAATTATTTGATCTTAGTGAGTAGAAAAAGTTTATAGTATCTGATTGACTAAATAAACATTCAAGATTATTTTGTCTCTTCCCTTAGTACTATCAACCCCCCTTTATGAGTACTATTACCTCACCCTTCGTACTCTTACATCCCTTAGTACAGGTATATGTAGAGAGTTCAGGTGTGATTAGAAAGTACAAGTGTAGTAGAAAAGCCACCTGGGTGTTGAGTACAGAATGTTACTCACCAATTGTACTCACACAGACTCACAAGTGTTAACTCCCCCAAATACCTGACTGACGCATCTGTAAATTTATTTGTTTTGCGTTTATCTTACGTAAGCAATCTGGCCTGGGTGTCCTCTTGAGACCGATACAGGGGAAATATTCTTCAGTAAGTTTGTAAGGCGTTGAGTTTACCTGTTGGTTAGGTTTGGTTAGGTTAGGTTAGGTTTGGTTAGGTTTGGTTAGGTTAGGTTTGGTTAGGTTAGGTTTGGTTAGGTTAGGTTAGGTTAGGTTAGGTTAGGTTAGTGATGGAAACAACGTCTTTTATACTCTGTTATATTTTTTTTCCTCTTATTTCCTCTCTCGCTTCTTGGCCTCTTATCTGTTTTGTTTTCCTCTTTGATGTTTCTCTTCTCCTTTGTTCCCTCCTACGTAAAAACTGGGAGAGGAGGAAGTATGAATGAATAGTGAATAGGTAGACAGAGAGAGCTTGTGTGTGGTGAGGGAGGGGGACCTGGCATAACCTTGTTGTGGCAGTGGTCAGGGCAATGAACCTCCTCTCCTGTCCTCCCGTATATGCTGTACCCTCCCCCCCCTCCCCAGTGCCAGTGCCGGTGTGTGAAGGAAGCACGTGTTGGTTGATGATGGTGAGGTCAGTGCCCCTTCTGTCCTGACCCATATAATATAGTGTACCCTAAGCAATGCCTGACCCATAGTAACCCCTTTGGACCTCCGTACCCTTCCCCCCTCCCCCTAGTGCCAGGATGTAAACACGCGTTCTGGTCGTCAGGTCATCAACCTTCCTGTCCTATATATTGTGTACCCTACAGTAGACTCAGTGCCTCCCCCTATCTCCCCCCTCACCTCCACACCCCTGTCCTACACATGACCCTCTCCTCCCCCTCACCCCTCACACCCCCTGTCCCTACCTGACCCCTCTCCTCCCCCCCCTCACCCCTCCACACCCCTGTCTACATGACCCCTCCCCCTCACCCCTCCCACACCCCTGTCCTACATGACCCCTCTCTCCCCCCCTCACCCCTCACACCCCTGTCCCTACACTGACCCCTCTCCCTCCCCCCCCCCCCTCACCCCTCCACACCCCTGTCTACATGACCCCTCTCCTCCTCCCCCTCACCCCCACCCCTATTTCATGACCCCTCTCTCCCCGTGTTAGTAAGTACATGGTCGAACGCCCACAGTACATGGTGATGGTAGGATCAGTATTTCTGTCACATATATTTATATAATTTACCAAGACTCCATAGCCTCCCTCCTCCTCCTCCTCCTCCTCCTCCTCCTCCTCCTCCTCCTCCTCCTCCTCCTCCTCCTCCTCCTCCTCCTCCCCCTCCCCCTCCCCCTCTCCCGTGCTGTCAGTGCCAACCAGAGGTGCGTATGGGGCCAATAGATGAAGCAAAAACATTCAGAACTACGTCAGCTCTGTCAGTGTAGGGGAGGAAGGGGGGCGGGTGACAGACTACATCACCTAACACCTTCACGATATCTTAGTCCCGGTTCAGCTTCGTCGCCATATTACCCACTAGAGGATTAAAAGGACCAATTAAACGCGTTCTAGTTCCCATAGATCAATTAGATGAGTTCTTGCATGACCCTATTAACGAGAGAACCTAATTAACGAGGCCCTTAAGGAACCAGGACTCGGGTGAACCAGGGTCCTGACACACACACAGAGATATAAGGTCATCACACCTTTATCATAACCAAGGTAAATTGAACCTAACTCTTCCCCTTGAATTGCATAATGCTCTTCCCGGATGACATAACACACTCGCTGCTACACACTCACGGGTTAACACACTTATGGGGTTTTAACACATTTATAGAGTTTGCACACACTAAATATTAACACACTCACAGGTTTAACGTACTCACAGGGCTGACACACTCGCTGCTACACACTCACAGGGTTCACACACACTACCTAACCCCACAAATATAAATAGGGAGACGTCATCATAAATCTAGTGACGTCATCATAAATCTAGTGACGTCATCATAAATCTAGTGACGTCATCATAAATCTTGTGGCACTATGCTGAAATCTGTACATCATACTTACTAAATCTGATGGTTTATATAATGTAATCTGTACTACCTCTTACGGTCAGTCTAATGTCCTTTTGTTTGGTCTGAGGATTGGCAACCACAGCCCTCTCCCCTAACTCCATCCATCCCAGCCATCCATCCCAGCCATCCATCCCAGCCATCCATCCCAGCCATCCATCCCAACCATCCATCAGCCATCCATCAGCCATCCATCCAACCATCATCAGCCATCCATCAACCATCCATCCCAGCCATCCATCCCAGCCATTCATCCCAGCCATCCATCAGCCATCCATCCCAGCCATCCATCAGCCATCCATCAACCATCATCAGCCATCATCAACCATCTCCATCAGCCATCCATCAGCCATCCATCCCAGCCATCCGCTTCAACCATCCATCCCAGCCATCCATCCCAGCCATCCATCCCAGCCATTCATCAGCCATTCATCAACCATCCATCAGCCATCATCAACCATACATCCCAGCCATTCATCTGACCATCCATCCCAGCCATTCATCCCAGCCATCCATCCCAGCCATCCATCCCAGCCATCCATCCCAGCCATCCATCAGCCATCCATCAGCCATCCATCCCAGCCATCCATCAACCATCCATCCCAGCCATCCATCAACCATCCATCAGCCATCCATCCCAGCCATCCATCCCAGCCATTCATCAGCCATCCATCAGCCATCGCCAGCCATCCATCAGCCATCCTCCAGCCATCCATCAGCCATCCATCCTTCATCCATCCCAGCCATTCATCCCAACCATCCATCGACCATGCATCAGCCATTCTCAGCCATCCATCCCAGCCATCCATCCCAGCCATTCATCCCAGCCTCTTCTTCCCCAAACATTACTCATTAACATCTCAATTCTTATTTCTCAACTGAATTACCATCATTAGTAAACCCTTTCTATCTAATTACCACAGGTATTACGAGTATAATTATCACCAAGCATTATAGAACAGACAGATAGACAGGCAGACAGGCAGACAGACAGGCAGACAGACAGACAGACAGACAGACAGACAGGTAGACATTCACCTTTCAGTAACCAGAAAGACGTGATATGATGAGTGTTAGTGTACAGTGACCCTACCTACCTCTTCCCCTCCCTCCCCTCTTCACTTCCTCATCACCCCCCTCTTCCTTCCCCCTCTTCTCCTCCTCCTCACCCCCCTCTTCCTTCCCCCTCCTTCTCTTCCTCCTCACCCCTCTTCCTCCCCCTCTTCACTTCCTCTCCCCCCCTCTTCCTTTCCCCTCTTCTCCTCCTCCCTCACCCCCCTCTTCCTTCCCCCCTCTTCTCTTCCTCCTCACCCCCCCTCTTCCTTCCCCCCCTCTTCTCCTCCTCATCACCCCCTCTTCCTCCTCCTCCTCACCCCTCTTCTCCCTCCCTCCTCCACCCCTCTTCCTTCCCCCCCTCCTGCTCCTCCTTATCACACCCCCCCCTCTTCCTCTCCCCATCCTCCTCGTCGCCGTCGTGGTACAGAGGGTACGTTGCCTTATGTAACTTTGAGGTCATGGGTTCGAAATGCTGTTGCTAGTAGGGAGGTGTGTCCGGTGTCGCTAGTGAGAGATAGGGGGGTAGGGGGGTAGAGAGAGAGGGTAGAGATAGAGAGAGAGAGAGAGAGAGAGAGAGAGAGGGCAGGACAGGGCAGGGCAGGGCAATAGGAGTCACTGACCTGCCCAAGTCTTTAAGTGTAAAATTGAAAGTTGATTTTGTTTTCGTCAATCACTATGGAATCACAAAAAAAAGCGCCTGGTGATTGATTATAAATGGTTATTAAAATACAAATTATTACATATTTTTTTTTTACAGATGGTTTAGTTAGTAATTGAAATAGAGTCTAGTAGGATTTTTTTTAATTAATTGAAAGTTAAGACCAATTTTTTATTATTTTCTAATTGTGAATTTTTAAAAGTATATTAATAAGTAACTTAAATCTGAAGTATTATTGATTTTGACCATTAATTGATATTCCATTTGTAATATATTTCCTGTAGGAGGTAAATTTTAATGTATTTCCTGAAGGAGTCAATCTCGAATGCTAAAATAATCCTGAACTGTGTTGCAGGATGTGGCAGAGTGGATGGAGGGCGCTGGGGAGGCTGGGGTCGTGTACTTCAGCTTAGGATCCTTCCAGAAGACCTCTAGGATCCCTGCCAAGTACCGTGAGGTCCTTATGGAAGCCTTTTCCCGCCTCCCCCACCGTGTCCTTATCAAGTACGGCGAGAGTGACGTACAATTCCCTCCCAACGTCCGTGCTTTCCCCTGGCTGCCTCAACAGGATATTTTAGGTGAGTTTTTATATTTTTTCCCGTGCTTCAAGAGGAGGTGTTCAATGTTCTTCAGGACGAGTTCTTGTGTTCACCAAAATTAAGAAAGTTTGTGGTGATTTTATTTTTTGTTCTTACGTTCTGTAATAGAAAGTTTGTTGCCGTAAAGGTACTTTTTAGTCATCAAAAAGGAAAGTTCTTGACGAGGAAACTTTCTAACATCAAAAAGAAAGTTTATGGTGAGTGTTCGCTCTTAAGTTCACCTGTAGAAAGTTTTTATGTGAATGCTTGTTCTTACTTTCACCTTTAGAACACAAATAAAAAGAAAGCATTGAAATCTGACACAAACAAAGGGAAAATAACGTGGAAATCTGACACAAAAACCAAAGAAAATATTAAAATCTGACACAAAAACAGAACAATAAATCTGACACAAACAAAACATACATGCATACATACATACACAAAATATACATGCATACATACATACACAAAACATACATACACAAAACATACATACACACATACAGGTCGTGGAGCACTACATTGCATTGTGTGAGTTGTAAAGTGCATCTCGTCTCTATATGATGACCCACACTGCATCATGAGTGACAGATCTTACTCCTGCTCCTTCACCTCCTTCTCTTCCCCCCTTTTACTTCTCTTCCCTTCTCATTCTCCTTCCCTCCTTCTACTCTTCCTACGCCTCTCCCTCCCTCCTCCCCTTCCTCCTACTACTCCTTCCTCTCCTTCTTCTCCTCCTCTCCTCCTCCTCTTCTACTCCCCCCCATCTCCCACCCCCCCTCGCCTTCATCCTCTACACTACACCTACACTTGGGGTTGTGTATACCTCCCAGGGTGTGTGTGTGTGTGTGTGTGTGTACATTGGGAATCCCCTTGAGTACACCCAGTCACTAGAACTATACACTGACTGTCATAAATATACCAGGAAAACCACGATATTAAACTGAACTGACAGTTAGAGTGGAGGGAATAGGCTGCGTGATCATCTGTACTCTGGCATGACCTGTACTCTGGCATGACCTGTACTCTGACATGACCTGTACTCTGGCATGACCTGTACTCTGGCACGACCTGTACTCTGGCATAACCTGTAGTCTGTTGACCTCTACGTGACCCAGAGTACATTATTACAGGTCGACCACAGCTGATAAGATTGACTGATAAAGTGATGGCCCAGCAATATTTCGGGTGCATTGTGGGCTGGCCATGGGTGTTGGGTGGCCATGGGTGTTGGTTGCCCATGGGTGTTAGTTGGCTATGGGTGTTAGGTGGCCATGGGTGTAATGTGGCCAAGTGTATATCTCAAAACTGCAGTGAAGAAAGTGGAATATCTGTCTGTCTGTCTGTCTGTCTGTCTGTCTGTCTGCCTGTCTGTCTGTCTGTCTGTCTGTCTGTCTGTCTGTCTGTCTGTCTGTCTGTCTGTCTGTCTGAGGGAGGGAACATCAGCAGCCACTGAAGGTCACTTGTTCTTGCCTTCCACCAGGGTGTTTATCTACTGCTTCCGCCATCACCCTTTTCGCCCCCAGGGAGGGATGGAGCCACCAGGGAGAAGGGAGAACAAAGGGGGAGCCATGGGTGAGGGAGGAAGAGAAGGGAGCCAGGAACAAGGGAGAAGAGGGAGGGTAATGAACGAGGGAGGAAGAGAAGGGAGCCAGGAACAGGGGAGAAGAGGGAGGGTAATGAACGAGGGAGGATAGGGACAACAGGATGAGGGAGAGTAAAGGAGAGGGAGAGTTAGGCTGACCTTTTCATTGGTCGAGGGAAAACAAAAGAGTCATCATCACCACCATCATCATCGTCATCATCATCATCATCATCGTCATCATCATCATCATCATCACCATCATCATCGTCATCATCATCACCACCATCATCATCGTCATCATCACCACCACCATCATCATCATCATCATCATCATCATCATCATCTGCTTGTCATTCTGTTCTTGCGATACGCTTAAAGGAATGAATGTTTACCCCTACGAATATTGTAGACAATACCTAAAACAACTTCCTGGTGTTTAATGGTATTGTTTTAAGGTTTTTTTTTTACAGCTGATGCTTTAACATTTTAGGGACATCTAGGTGTATAAAGGGTATTTTAGGGATGGCAGCCTCAGTGGGTTTATCATATAATTTAAGGTTATATATTTTAAAGAAATGATATTGATTTTATTTTAGGCTCGTGATCCTCGTCATCTTCCAGGGGGACTTTAGGTCCAGTTTTAAGGTTCATACTTGGGTATCAGGGGTTTAGGGGATTTCTAAAGGTTTGACTCCATTTTAGGTCCAGTTATAAGGGTGAAATTGGTTTTCATGTCGGAACTCTGGTGTTGATGAAGGCAAATGGGTCTCAGTGTGTGGGTTTTACTGCGTTCATCATGACTCTGAGGTACTCTGTGTGTGTGTGTGTGTGTGTGTGTGTGTGACATTAATATTTGTCATCTTTGCTGTTCATTCAATAACACGTATTAAGAAGTTAGTTTCCAGTCTGCTTTCAAAGGTAAATCCTATCACCTGTGTTTATATTGTATACCTGTACCCTATGTGAAATAAATAGAGTAAAAGTTTCAGGTGTTTCGTTAAGTCTCCAAGAAATCTTAGTTCGTCTCCATGAAGGTTGGGGAGGGGGGAGGGAGGGAGGAGGTAGTTTGGAGACAAAGCACGACTCTAGTTCTTGTGATAGAGGTGGGGTTGTGGCTATAGTCTCACACTATACACACTTTTTACGTTATCTTATCAGCTTGAGACACACAGACACACACACACACACACACACACACACACACGCACACACACACACACACACACACACACACACACACACACCATGATAATGCTTCCCTCCGTTGCCATAACTTGATACAAAAATCAGTCAGTCGTAAACCCGCCAGCATTGAATACCCGTGACTTTTGTTGGGGCTGCTTTAAAGGCGGAGTGCCGCCCCCCCCCTCCTCCCAGCACACCAGGTCGAGGCGTATTCCAGATAGGATACGCGAACACGAAAAGACACACTGATCGGTATACGTGAAATGCGTATATGCGGGTCAAGCACATAGCCTTCACCTCCCGTGCAACACAATCAGGTTGGGTACGTTCCGTGACGCGTCGTGGGGAGCGATGTCTCCGGGGCCATAACCAAGATAAGAATAGGGGGATCCAACCCTACCGCTCACACCACCACCGCGCCGCGACCTCCGAGCTCCCTTCTTAAACCGCCCCCTCCCTCCCTCCCTCGTTCTTTCTCCCTCTTCCCTCCTTCTCTCCCTCTTTCTCTGCTTCCTCCCTCCTCCTAACATCTCTCTAATTCACGTTTTCCCTGTCTTTCAATTAAGCAAGGAAGAGGCGGGGGATGGGTGAATGACGTAATGTTAATTAGTGTCACTGGCCGCCATTACGATAGGACGTCAGGTTATTTACGATCTTCTGATAAGTATAAACAAAACAGATTATTATTTTTTTGTTTTTCATCTCCGTAATCGGCTATAAAGCGACATGAATAGAATAGATATTAACCTCGAATGAACTGACCTAATTAGGGAGAGTTTTAGGTCAAGATTCGAGTTTTACGTCACAGTTTAAATAAGGTCAACGTAAAAAAAAGAGAAGTTCCAATACAATTCCTAAAAATATACAGACATACACAGATTCGAAATTACTTTGAGTTAAGAGAATTTTTTGAGTTAGGAGTTCGTTATAATTACGTAGTCAGGACCCAGCTCACCCTAACACCACCCACTGTAATGCATATTGATGACGGAATCTTGGGGGCACATATGACCCCTTGGCCTTGAGTGTACACAGATGCCTAGTACTCAACAGGTGTTTTAGTGGGTGTTACTAGTACTCAACAGGTGTTTTGTGAGAGGGCCATAGATTTTTAGACCCTGGACCACAGAGGAAAGACCATGGACCATAAACCAAGGTTAATAATTATGTCCTTTGATTTCACTAGGACAAGTTAAGGGGTACTGGATTCCTACGTCACACACACACACACACACACACACACACACACACACACACACACACACACACACAAGGACCCACATACCCAGCACAAAAAGCTTCGTCATGCTTGGAGTTTACTGAGAGTCAAAGCTTCTGCTGTTTCTGCCTGCTGCTGCTTCTGCTGTATTTACTGCTGTTCAACTTACTCTCTTGGTTTCTGTTACCGTTGTTACTGTTACTACCAACGGATCCCTGTTTACGGTAATCGATATACTGTATTTTCTTGTTGTGCCTTGAGTGGGCAGATGTCACGTCCCACTCCCATGTCCACTCCCACTCCTACACCCACTCTTACACCTACTCCTACGCCCACTCCTGCACTCACCCCTACTCATTGAGCCAGTGACGTCATCCAGGAGGGCGTAACTACAGGGATGTCGCTCGTGTTTTTGCGCTCTTTGTGGCGAAGATGTATTATTGGAACACCCAAATGCGCGAGTGGGTTAGGTTAGGTTAGCATTAGGGAGGTTAATCTTCAGGTGTAATAAGCTGGGGGTTAATCTTCAGGTGTAATAAGCTGGGGGTTAATCTTCGGGTGTAATAAGCTGGGGGTTAATCTTCAGGTAATGACTCGAGGCTGACCATCTATTAACACTCAAGTTAATAAGCTGAGTGTGTCGGTGCTGGATGGTCGACCTTGACGCTCCTCCTCCACGTGTCGACACATTGAGGGGGACTGTTAAGGCCAAGGTCATGTAAGTGGTGTAGTGAGGGTCACGTGACACAGGATGCCACCATAGGGGTTACTGGCATATGTACGGACTCCCTCCCCCTCTGTCCCTCCCTCCCTCAGCTCTCCCTCCCTCCCTTACAGAGCTATGACCCTTCCCCCCTCCCTCCCTCTCTCACACGGAGCTATAACCCTTCCCTCCCTTCAACCTCCCCTACTACCACAACAACATCAACAACTACTACTACTACTACTACTACTACTACTACTACTACTACTACTACTACTACTACTACTACTACTACTACTTTTTTTTTAAATAGCCTCCAACCTCCCCTTATAGCCATACCTTCGCAGATCTATGCGGCATTCAGTGACTGTTGCCTCATAGTCAATATCTGCAACTGTTGTCGGCTTTGAGGCCGATGCTCTCGTTCCCCTACTACTACACTCACCACTAACCCACACTATGTTCACAGGCCACAAGAACCTCCGTCTGTTCGTGACACACTGCGGGATACACAGCGCGTCAGAGGCAGTATATCATGGTGTGCCTGTACTCGGTCTCCCCATCACCTTCGAGCAGCCAAGGAAGTGTGCCAGGATAGCTCGTCGCGGGGAGGGCCTCGTGCTACAGTGGGAACAGCTCACACCAGAGGCTATCATTGACTCTGTCTATACCCTCGTGCATGATGTGAGGTGAGTGAATCCATCGGTGTGTTTGGTACCTGGCATTTATACTTATGTTTGAGTATTGTTTGGGTTCCTGGCATTTATAACTTCTTGAAATAATTATCCTCCGTTGTTGAAATTGATACAGAAGCTCTTTACTTAACTTTACTTTACCATCCTCGAACACCTAAGTTATTCCACCGTTCTTGAAATGTCAGCGAGACATATAAACCCAGCCTCTCCATATATTAAGGTGCCTCCCTCCTAGTCCTTATCTTCCTTCCAACAGGTTTCGCAAGCGTGTGGAGGGCGTGTCTCGTCGCCTTCAAGCACAAAAGGAAACTGGTCTTGAGCGAGCTGTCTGGTGGGTCGAGTACGTTATGGAACACGGCAACGACTACCTCAGGTATGGTTAGGTTAGGTTAGGTTAAGTTAAGTGAGACTAAACATATCATTGTGGACTGCACCCTAATGAACAATGTCTAACAATTCTTCCCTTGACGACAGGTTCTCGGGTGCTGACTTGAGCTTGGTGCAGTATCTCCTGCTGGACGTGTTGGCCATCATAGGCGGTGTGGCTCTCGTCATCGGTGTGGTCCTGTTCTTCCTGGCCAGATCAATTTTCAAGAGATTTTGGCCCTCAAGCTCTTCAAAGGCTAAGCTGGAGTGAGCTTGTTGCCATATCAGCTGCTCTAACCACTGTCATTATGTACAATATTTTCTTAATGGTGCTACTCTGTGCTCAGTGAGGCAGGACAGCAGAAGGGGGAGGGGCAGGTACTGTTAACTATATTTTATGTGGGTTATTATACTATGTAAGCGTTAGCAAAATATTTAATTATATTGTACTCTATGGGGGTAAATTAATATGTCTGCTGATACAGGAAGTTTATATTTCTCTACTGTCAGTGTTTTTAAATAGGTTTAATGAACTATCAGTGAAATTGTATCAGATGGTAAAATATTAGTAAATTGCACCTTAGGCGCCCTTTGTGCAGGTATAGCCGTATGGTTATCAGTATCTCTCTCTTATCACACACTGACTAGACCACAATCCTCAGCCTCTTGTGGGAAATCCAAACTGTAAACTATATTCAGACTGATGAAGTTTCTGAAGTTTCAAACAATAATATGAAGGTAAATGTTTGCTGTCAATGATGTATAACCACCACCCATATACACGTGTTACCTGGGTCCTGGGATACATACAATAAGCAGCTGAGGGAGAGATGGTGTTCTATATGAGGTCACTGAGACGTCCATCCTGGGGTTAAAAATATTCAGGGATCATTAAGGTACAATCACACTATAGTCCTCACCTTATTGAAGACATTTACTACTTGAATGGGGTTTATCCAGTGATCATTGTACAAATCTGAATTCGCTTATTGTGTTTGCACTTAAAGGCTCAGTCAGTTTATAGACTATCTCCACAAACCCCCTTTACTGTGGGGACACCACTTTTAATATTTGGTTAAAACCGGATGATTTTATTCAGCTCAGCCCTATACACAAGGGGTTAATGACTGACTGGATTAGTTTTTATCGAGAAAGCCAAGTTATTCAAGTTGAAATTTCACCTTTACACACAAGGGAAGATAAAGGTAGACTGGACTATCTATGTACGCTGTAACAACTTAAGTAACCTTTGGATTTCATATCAAGTCACTAGATTAAATGTACAGTAAAGGGTGGCTCATAGGCCACACACCTTTGTAAAATTGATTTCTTCTTTTTCAGTTGAAGAAATCATAACAAACCAACAAAAATGGCAGAGAAATTATCACAAGATTCACTTTAATATTAATTGATAAAACCCCTGTACTGTACTATGCCTGGCTGTCAATTAAATACTTTTGAACTGACTTGTGTGTCGCATCTGGTTTTCAGCACAAGAATATATTAAACTGACTCTTTCCTTTAGTGTTAATTTCTCTGCCATCTTATCTCTTATGATTCCCTCACCTGAAGAAGAAAAAATAACATTAATTTTTCCATTGGCATATGACCTATGAGACGACCCTATACATTACATATTTCCAGTCACGAAAGAATGTCAAATGACCTTGTTTGGTGGATATTATTCTTATTAGATGTAATTTGGATTTGTTCTCTATATAGTGTCAGGTATACAGTACACATCGTTCATAAGACATGACAAATGAAGAACTACGATAGTGAAAATGTGCCTTCAGGAATTAGATTTCTGGTGTGCAGCTATCCCTCGAGTTAGGGAATTTCAAGCTACAGAATTTCAAGTTACGGAATTTCTTGTTACGGGATTTCAAGTGAAGGACAACTATTCAGGAACGCAACCCTTCTGTAACTCGAGGGATGGCTGGTAATTGTAGACCTTCGGCAGTACAGCACACTAATAATATGAGTTAAGTACAATACTGTACTTCTGAGGGTGAAACATATGTGAATCCTCTACTAGAATCTAGTTTGAAGTTTCACAGAATATTTGCCTTATTAATGTTATGGTACTGAACACATAGTAATATATTTTAATATTAGAATAAATTTAATACAGTGATCCTATTTTCTACAGGTTTTTTCTTATGGGCATATTATTTGTATATCATTTTCATAGAGAGTTTAAAAGTGTTCCTGTGGCCTGAAGAGTGAGTAGTTTGATATGTGTTGTGTAAAGTAAATATGTATACTTGATAGGCCTAATATAGTTGCTTGTTAATATTTAGACTAAGTTTCTGCCAATTTTAAGATCATGCAACATGATTTTTTACAGTTTTTGTAAAGGATTGTATAGAGATGTATAATTCATAGGTTTAAATTGTTTTCCAATCAACATTGATCTTCCGCCAATCTTGAAATCCTACACTAAAATTTGACACGTTGTTTGTTGATTGTTTATGAGAACAAGGAAGATCATTTTGTTACCTCTGAACTAAACACAATATGACCAGATACTCAGGTTTCTCAATACAGTAATCAGATACAATATATAGATACAGGTATATAGAATATACTCAGCACTATTGTGTATAGTACCTCACATAACTATTTTGTTTTCTCAACTCTCTGGATAAATATTTACCTCAAAATAATTATGCAACGTGCTTTGACTAGACTCCCAGTGTGATTGTCAGTTCATAAGAATTAGTTTGATAAAGAACAACTTCGTCTGGCAAGTTGCATATACCAGCATTATCACTTCACATTTTACAGGATAAACTGCAGGTATTAAGCTTTTATTGCTTAAATCATAATGAAACAAGTATGTATGTGCTATTCCCCGTAAAAAAATAATATTCTCTACAGTGAAATACTACAATATTAGCAGAGTAACTTTGGAAACTTATTTACTATTCCTCTTCCCTAATTATCAACTTAAGCAATAATGGCTAATATTCAGAATACTGTACTGTTATGATGATTGATGGCTTAAGATCAAAGGCCTATGGGCTGTGAATCAATGAGTAATGTCTGTAAGGGAATAAATTGGTTACAGTATTGATGTATATATAAGACTCGAGTCAGTAGCCATGGAGGTACACAAACTTTAGGACAGACCAATTGTTGTAGGTCAGATACAAGAGTATTTAACGAGCTTGTTTTATATGTATTATACTATACAGTATATATTTACATTTGTATTATCGTGTAAATAGTTTAACTACTTTTTCATATATTACAACTACATGTGTCTGTATATTTGTTGTTGTTCTAAGACAAGTCGATAACTTTTATTCTCTCTAATCTAAAAACAAACATTTAATGAACTATGGGTGACTAGTTTACTATTCTTGATGTACTCAGATCCTCTCCAGGGGCGGATCCAGGAATATCAAAAGGGGGGTCCAAGAAGTTGTGGGTGGGGGAATATGGCGAGCACAGCGAACCCACCCATTTGGGGGAGGTGCTGTAAGCCTCCCCCTGATAATTTTATTTTTTTAATCTGTCGAATATCATGGGCATTTTGAGGCCATTTTGAAGCCATGTACTCTAAATATCAGGAGATATTCTGAAGTCAATAGTAATTACTTTTTACTATGCAAAAACGCCTGAGTACAGTGCTGCATTAAAGAAAATGTATTGGAACTTTTTGGGGAAAAGTGTGGGGTGTCCGGACCCCCCGTGGATCCGCCCCTACTCTCTCTACCTCTGGCCAGACTTCTCTCCATTGCTTTACCTTCTCAAGAAAGCCTCAACAAACTCCTCAGATCACTTCAACACCCTCTGCCCCAAACCCACCAACTGACAACTAATTTCTTTCTTTTCTCGAACTATCTTTGCCATACAATACAAAAGCTAAATAAAAGTTAAGTTAAAGTTATATGAAACAAAAATGATTTATCAATTAATGTTAAACTTGTTATATTTATTGCACAGTTAAATTCGGACATTGTTAAGATGTACATTGATTTGTTATATTTGTACACTAGTTAAATATTGTACAGGATGTCTCATAAGTCACGCTCCATACTGTACAGGGTGTCTCATAAGTCACGCTCCATACTGTACAGGGTGTCTCGTAAGTCACGGTCCATACTGTACAGGGTGTCTCGTAAGTCACGCTCCATACTGTACAGGGTGTCTCGTAACATATAAACACGAGCATACACTACCATAGGTCCAAGACACTTTCTACTGGTATTGTATATAACGTTTAAACCGGAGAAGTCAAGTTGATGGTAAATTTTCTTGAGGAAATCTGGTTAAACAGTTATGAAATTTTCTATGTATGGCAAGTTTATGAGAAAAATAATATTGTTCATTATATAGTAGTGTGGTATTTTGAGGGTTAATTCTGTTCTTTGTCGTTGTCTAGGTAGAAGTGTTGTTATGTCATATTATATCAAGAAATAAGATAAATTGCCCTTATAGATAAACTCAAGGTAATTATTCTATATCAAGGTGCTAAGGTAATACTGAGACGTAACACTTATTAGATCATTATTCAGGTAATTTATTATTGTTTACTGAGATGGAATTACAACACTTTCAGCCTGGGTCAACAATATGTAATTTTGTATTTACTGTTATGTAGGTTTTTGTAGTGCAGCGAGTGAGCTGGTTACAGGTTACAGTATATATAAATGATCAAGGTTATATAATGGCCTTGGTGAACTTGTGTAAATATAGGAGTAGCTGTGTGTGTGTCGCGGGGTTGGTGTTGATGATATTGTTATGTAAAGCTGTTTTCTTATATTTCTATAAACTTTACACTAGAACCATACACCAGATATTGAGACTGAATTTACTTAACACATGACTTACAATAGGGAGTAATACACAGCTTTATATATACAGTAAAGTATATATAAACTGTATATTACTTCCTTAATCAAAATCCTAAATATTATCATACAAACACATGTATATAATGCACCAACTCTACTTGATCTGTCATATACAGTACTGTATAAGCTATAGTAATTTAGGTATCAGAAGACTGTAAAAAATGTATATTTATAATATAAATTTCTAAATATTTTATCCGTCACCCAAAAGTAACTTTATATACCGTATATAAAGTTACTCCATAGTACTCTACCTCTCAGCCTCATTTATAAATCTGATATTCAGGAAGACCTAAACCAGACGTGTACAAGAATCTTAGGTGTTACTGTGTCTAACTTGGCCTGTGCAGTGTATGATCTGTACAGGCCCCATGATGCGGTACTTCATGTGGTATAATAAAGAGATATCTTAGCTATTTCTTTTATTAACCTTTTATCTCACTGATTTTAACAAATATTGTACACTATTACACCTGTATAAGCAAAATCTTAATTGCTCTTTTAATTATATTTTGCTTATGTTACTTTCTTTTCTTTAACAATAGGTAGTAGGTAGTAGGCAGCTACCAAACAGGGAGGTACTACCGCCTGGGAATATATTGGAAGCATAATGTGTTGTCTATGGTAGACCCTGCTGCCATATGGCATCACAAAAATTGTGACCAAGTCCCAGGTTGCTGATTTGACTTTCTGCCCCATTTACACACAATTGCAGGGTCTCAATTGTTTCTCTTACCATTGACAACACAACATACATATATTGTTTCTCATTTTTTATCTTTTTTCCAGGTTTGTAATTCTTTATTATTATTATTATTATTACTACTACATTTTCGCCCCCAGGCCCCGATGTGGGTCAGTGACCTGTGACCGGGTGGGCTAATCCCCGTAAAGGTACATATTATTTCTTTTGTTTACCTTTTATATCATAGTGAAAATTAGAACGCCTGTAATTTCGTGGTCTTAGAAAGTTGGTCGACCAAGGATAAACCAATAAAGATCTTAAAAGCTTCTTATCTCCATTTGTATTAACAGTATATGTGTGTAAACGTGTAATATGGGAAATGCAATACATTACATTAGTATTCCATCAAACAACTTATAGTTTTCTTTGGTTTTATTATTATAAAGTCTACGGGAATTATAAGCCCCTTTTTAGAGACTCTCGAGTGCAAATTATAAGAAATTTGACCTTTATGATAAATTCTTTTGACAATTGGTGCAATGAGCTCTCAGAACCTGTAAGATATTATTATACAGAAGCTGGGATGAACAAAGGCTCCCCAGTGGCTGAAATTAGCATATGTAAGTCTTATATTAAAGAAGGGTGATGGCCAATCTACTGTACTTTATCCTCTCCGTCACTGGCCGGATCTGTTAGTTCCCCTTCTAGCGTGTGATTATAAAGAGAATAAAAAAGAACTAATGATAATAGACATATAACTAAATATAATAGACAAGCACATTACACTGACACGTTATCCTCATTCTTTTGTGTTAATACTTAGGCAAAGTAAAGTAATCATGTAAGACGAGTGTCTGCAATAAGATTAGTACTGTAATAGCATTAAAATTTATAACACGGATGTAGAGGCCTAGGTTAATTATGCTTTAAGTTATTAGAAGTAAATTAGCATTTATAAATGATAGAGGAAAGGGGGCCAACACGGCGACACCCCCGACACAGAACCGCTTTACAACAAGACTTTAAAGGCTTTAGCAGACAACAAGTCACATGGCGGAGAAACTGACTATATTTATGGACAATTACCACGTTATTTGTGTATGGAAAATATCAGATTCAGGTATGTATGTTTATTAAAACTCTAGAAACTCATTTTATAAAGTTTGATAAAGCAGCGAGTTATTTTATGGGAGATTTGGGCTTTTTAAATGTTGACCCCAACTTTTTGTAACAGCTCTATTGTGTTGTATAGGAATTAAACGAAACCATAGATGCTATTATGCTTAAGTCTTGACGTTAGGGAACTGTTTATGTAGAGTTACTGTAGTACATCATGTGTCAGTTTGTGTTAAGGTGAGACCATTGTAGAGCCTGGCACGGCGGTCCCACTAATTACCCAAATGTAGCCAAATGTACCCAAATATAGCCGGAATGAAGTCAAATAATGGTCCTAGATGAATAAATCGGACTGTCAATCACTTCTCGACTAGTATTTGGTGTCACAAAGTCACAAAAAATTGGTAAACTTAATTTAATCTGAGTTGTGTTGTGTTAGGTTAGGTTAGATTAGATTAGATTAGATTAGATTAGACTAGACTAGATTAGATTAGATTAGGTTAGGTTAGGTTAGGTTAGGTTAGGTACATGCACTTGATCTATTAACTCAGATTAAATTAAGTTTACCAATTTTTTTTGGACTTCGTGACACCAAATACTAGTCGAGGTTAGGTTACGTTAGGTACAAGCACTCGATCTATTAACTATGATTAAATTAAGTTTACCAATTTTTTGTGACTGTGACACCAAATACTAGTCGAGAAGTGATTGACAGTCCTATTTATTCATCTAGGACCATTATTTGACTTCATTCCGGCTATATTTGGCTACATTTGGGTACATTTGGGTAATTAGTCGGACCCTGGCATGGTGCTGCCTACTTCGTCTGCTGATTAAACACCCCAGTGCTAAACTAACCTAACTCACCCAAGGTCTTTTAGTAAACATTTTATATACTTCTTACAGGAGATGTTAGAAGAAACATCTGGGAAATTGAAGTGGACCAAGACAGATGAAAATTACCAACTGGAGCAATGAATAAGAGGCTGCCATTGTTAGAACTTAATACAATATTGCCTGAAGACAGTTTTGGGCAGAGTATGGTATGTGGACGTGACCTACGAGGAGTTCATCTTTGTGTTGGCACCACCACCACTACCTATGTCACCACCACCTCCACTAATACCACCCCGTCACCTTCGACACCATCACCTCTGGCAAGGTAATCTGTAGGGGCAGCGCTTGTAACTGTACACAAGTTATATATGTCATTTGTTTTCTATCTGTCTGTGTATCTCTCCACCTGAACGTACGCTGCTCTCTAGAATTTTAGGTACAATACAGGTATACTGACTGGCCTGTAATTACCTACATCACACCTGTCTCCTTTCTTGTAGACAGGTGTTACTCTGGCAAACTTACAGTCTTCTGGTACAGTATTGGTGCTAATGGAGAGATTAGTTAGATGTGTTATTGGTGTGCTTAATGTAGTGGCACCATCCTTCAAAGGCCTGGCAGGGATGCTATCAATACCTGTGCTCTTGTAGGGGTCCAGTTTATCTAACTCCTTCAGAATAAAGTCCTCTGTCACTGTGTGAATTTCAATACTGTCTGGTGTGATGCATTTCTTTTTACAGTGGGATTTAAAGGCTTCTGATCCCACACTGTAATTGTTTGAGGCTGTCGGCAGATTCTCAACTAAAGATGAGGCAACTGTTGTGTAAAAGGAATTAATGTGGTTTACAACTTCCGATGTGTCGTGACAGAGCTCATCATTGAAGTTTAACGCTACGTTGTATCATTGTTTTGGTTTGCCGGTGTGTCCAGAACTTTTAAGGATTACTTATTTGTATTTTCCTTAATCTTATTATTAACTTATTCTTTTTTCACTTGCTTTATGTCTGTTTGTACTTTGCTTCTTAGTCTACATAATTTTTTGTGTGCCTCATCATCACGTCTGTTTCTTATAAACTTACGAGTGAGGTGATCTCTGTCCCTGATTAACTCCAGTATCTCACTAGTCATCCAGGTTTCAGTCTTAGCTTTTATTCTTATTTACTTTAACTGGGCTAAGTCATCAAGAATGCCAGTAAAAGTAGTTTTGAACTTCTCAAAGACCTCCTTAACCTTCATGCAATACGTCACATGCAACCCATCAATATTTTGTAGTTTATTTTGGAACTCTTCTTTATTGTAATTCTTCTTTTACCATATTTTGATTACTTTGTGTTGTCCTGCCTTATCCCTGACCTTTTTCCTGCTGCAGTAGGTGATAAAGTGGTCACTGAGGCCAACAAGAATGATCCCTACCTGACTGATTTTGTCTTGTCTACTACATGTTATATGATCTAGTGTGGTGGCTGAGGACTTTGTTATCCAGGTTGATTACAGTACAGTAGTTGGTTAAAGCTGTACACCTCTAAGATTTGTTGTGCATAACTTCATCTCTCGAACCCGGAAAGTAATCCCCCCATTCCCAGACTTTTTCCAGGTACTGTGTGTATCAGTGTATATCTTCCTATCTATCAGTCAGTGTATCTATATCTACCTATCTATCTTACTTCCCATTATAATAAACACACCACTAATTTCAATGGGAATATTTAGTAACAATTAGTGAGTTTGTCAAGCATGCAAACAAGTTTTACAGTCTCAAGATAGTTCCCATAAACCAAACAACTATTGTACTGGGTGATTATTAATTCTTGAACATATTTTAATCATAAACATTTTCTTATATATTAAATGTTATATTTTGTTTGTTACAGGTGATGTTAAAGACTAAACCTTTGGCAAACTAACAACTGAAGCATCAAGAAAGTCCTGTCACAGGTGTGTGTTTTTGTGTTCTTGTGTGTGCTGCCTACAGTATATCTGCCTAACTGTCTTTATCTATGTATCTATATCTACAGTTTATCTTTCTTTCTATCTTTCAATACCTGTATATTAGTCAATCTATTTATCTGTTATCTATCATTTATCAATCTATTAATTTATCTCTAGCTATGCTAACTGTAAAAAAGGTGTTCGCAGTAACTCAGTAATGTGCAGTGAGTGTGGAAGGTGGGTACACAGGAGGTGCAGTGGAGTGGATGGTATACTGCAGGATGTTGGTGACGTTAAGTGTTTATGTGCAGACAATCATGTGGCTGTAACAAGACTACAGAAACTCAACATTGGGGATATATATCTGGACTGTGTCAATGAGTTCGGCTGCCTGGGTGGCATGATCAGTGCTGTAGGGGGTGGTGATGCTGCACGAGTAAGAAATGGTTGGAGGAAGTTTATGGAGTTACCGCTCTTTATTGTCAGCAAGAGGGTTTTCCTTCACATGAAAGGAAGAATGTATACAACTGGCGTGAGAATGTGATGGTGCATAACATTGAAACATGGGCAGTTAAAGAGGATATTGAAAGTGATGGTAAGGTTTTTCATAGAGGCAGACTGGGATGGTTTAATCATGTAGAGAGAATGGATAAGACCAATTGGGGTCAAGAGATGCATGTATTTAAATGTGGAGGGAGGAGAGCCAGGAGCAGGCCAAGAATGACATGGGGAGAGGTTGTAAGAAATCACATAAAGAGTTAAGAACCTGACAGGCGAGACTGCAAGTGACCACGCAGCATGGAGAGCCGGTCTGTCTCTCTGTCCATCTGTTGGTCAGTCTCTGTCCATCTGTTGGTCAGTCTCTGTCCATCTGTTGGTCTGTCTCTCAGCCCATCTGTTGGTCTGTTTCTGTCTTATATGTACTGTAGACAGCACTACTAGCCAAAACATTTATAAAGTATTGAGCTCAGTCACCAAGAATGTCCCCAAATTAATGTCATTGGTTGAAGGTGTAACAGACCCCAGTCCTTGAAGGCCCAACATGCCATACCAGACCATTAAGGCCCAACAGGACTGAACCACAGTCAAAATGGTTAGGTTAGGTTAGGTTGGGACTTATTAGGACTGCAGCCTATTTACTCTGAGGCCAATCTGATCAGCTATTAATGTCATATATGTGATTTACAGTACTCAATGCTTTAATGAATGCCATGATAGCACTGAGTTGACAATGCATGTGATTAATACCTGGAATACAAATATTTCCAGGAAAATGTCCAATATTCAGCAACTAGACCACTTTAGTATTATAGAAGAACCAAGAAAATATTGTTTATTGTGTTAAGGGTCAGTGTCCCTTTATTTGGTTTGTATCAAAACACTGGTGATTGTCTCATATCAGGGGTTGTATATCTTTAGTGGAATGTTGGTGTGTATTATTACTGTGTCCTGGATTCAATCCCCAGTTTGGGATAGATGTGAGAGGAGTTTTATCCAGTGTGACACGACCTAACATGACAGGTTTCCTCCTGCATTAACACTGGACAGTAAAGGTCATAACATAGAACAAACCAACGGTCTGAATGGCTGATAACTGGTGAAATGATTAATAAAGAATAAAAATATACCTGTACAGTATTCTTGATAGATATTCAAACATTGCTTCTACGGTGGCTGTCCCACTTATGATTGTGGTAGGTATGATGTTGCCACATTGACTTGTACAAAGGTGAATCATAACTTAATGTTGACTCACCCGTAGCGTGCTTAAACATTTATGCCACTAATGTCTTGACGAATGAGTCTTGATCACACACACAGCTATAAGGCGGTCTTCTCTTCCCTCCCTGTCAGTTAACAGAGAAATTTACATATTGCTGTACATTCCTCGGCCTTTATAATAGAAGGAAAAAAATTATCGTTGATTGAAGATAAAGTGTATCTTTGAGGTGACAATCATGACCAATGATAAGTTTTTTGGTTGTCAAGTCGGTGTTGGCGTTTGTGTGTAGTGCTGACCTGGATCATCCAGCCACAGCCTTCTGCAGGGAGTGTAACCTTCCCTAAAAGGATTGATAATGTTCAAAAGGTCACAGCTCTTTATCAGCTGTCAACACAGTTGTCTTCAAGGCAGTTTTATAACGAAGCCACTTTATGGTTCCATTCTTTTGTCCTTGGAGATGTGGTTCACTCTTTGTCAGATCCAGGTCAGGTGGGTCTCTAAGATCTCTCTTTAATCCTCACTGATTACAGGAGGATGGATTACATTCTTAACCCTTAAACAGCTGCCATCATCTATGGAAGTTAGCTGTAGGGATGGCAGCCAGCATCTGTGGAAGTTAGTTAACATGGAAATTGTCCATAGAACAATGATGAAAATGACCGTTATAACACTCATGGATGAGCAGTTGTCTGATTGTTGAAATTGAGTGTGGGGGCCAGTCCTTGGCTGGTTCATGTGCCGCAACTTTGGAAAATTTGAAGAGACTGATTTGTGAGGCTGTTATTACAGTTCAGTATGATATGGTACAAAATGTATAGAGGAAAACAGCACCAACGGTACTACTTTGATGTCTGTACCGCCACAAGAGGAGGTCATATTAATCTTGTGTACTGGTAGCTTGAAAATAAAGCTTTTTTATGTTCTTCTTTATTAGTACATTATACAGTATTTTGCTTTTTGCTGTAACTTTATTAATTTTTATCATAATAAATCTTTAAGATTAGAAAGATCATTTGTACAATGACCGGGTACAGTAAGTGATCTAGTGGGTGAGACAGTGATCCACACTTGCTGCCTTACTGTGTCTGCTCTTGTTGAGCCTATTATCAATGGAGAATAGTATCTTGTAATTGTTTATAATGATGGTAATTTTCTTGGTGATGTTGTGACCCTGATGACTTTATTGGTTGTCCTTGGTGAACAGCCTTACTGTTTACCTTTGTCTTTATACCTGCAGTCTAGGTACATTTGGAATTGTCTCTGTACATGCTGAACTGTATAAAGTACCTGTATTTTCTCTGTACATGCTGAACTGTATACCTGCATTCTCTAAATATGGATGCTGAACCAATTGTAAACTTGTATGACGAGTTTACTGAATATTTTTCAAGCTATCTAAAGTGGTCTAGTTTATGGAAATGTTTTGAGTTTTTCCTGATAATTTTGTTTCATCACAGGTGTTACTCTGTTGCAGTGAAGTTGTAAACTGAAGTGTTAAGTTGCAGCTCTGGGCAAAGAACAATTTGTCTCCATTAATTACAAACCAGAATATTGAATTTTCCCAATTTCTATCTATGTATAATTTGGCTAAATTTGTCTTTTAAATTTATCTGGACTTAGAAAACCATCCACTTAGGTGTCTTCTCTGCCATTCCAACAAGATTTGATATTTTTGAGGAAATTATATTCAGTTTTATGTTGTGTTTTTGAGGGCTTTTGGAATTACAGTGGGGTATGCTATAACGAACGGATCCTACTACGAATATTCCTATAACGAACGGTTTTACCTATAAAATTGAGAATGCTATAACGAACGAAACTCCTACAACGAACATTATTAAATTTTTTTTTTTGCTAATTTATTGTTTTTTTATTACAAGTTTTAATGATATTCTTTATTTCAGGGGTTTAGATGCATATTTATGCACTTTTTTACAATTTTATATTATATTTTTCAGTGTTAAGTGGTTGTATTTGGGGGCCTGGAACGGATTAATCCTATAACGAACAAGGTTCTAGAACCAATTAGATTCGTTATAGCATACCCCACTGTAATATGGTCTTTGTCACACAAATTTCCAGCTGGTGATATTGTTTTAGATGTATAATGAGCCATGTTAGTGAACACACAGTGGGCCGCGGGTTGTCCATGCCTGGGCTACTGGAGTATGTTGAACTAACCTCTTGAGAATGATAAATTAGCCCCTTGGGTATGATGGCCAAACCTACAGTGTCATCATACTCAAGGGGCTATTACATTATAATCAAGGAGCTAGTTCATCATAGTCAAGGGGCTAATTCAGCATAATCAAGGGGGGTAGTTCACCATACTCTTGAAGTTAAAGTGTTCCACTGAACAATATAATTAATGGTATTCAAAGGGTTAAGGTGTACTCACTGGGCAAAGTCATTGTACTCAGGGGGTTAATTCCCCAGTAATTTATGATGGTTGTGGCTTTAGGGAAAATTTCATATTTGTTGGAATGGCAGATTCATTTTGATGTATTAAATCCAATTATAATGAACATTATAATAATTTCGATATTTGCTTAACAGTGATATTTGTAAGTCCAAAAAATTCGTTGCTTTAAAATATTTCCTATGTCCACAAATTCATTATTTAAAATATATTCTAAGTCCAAAATGGCCAAAATTATTTGTGGGCAGATTTTAAATTTTTTTCTGGTTTTAGGGGTAAAAAAATTCATGTTACCGCTAAGAGCTCCAGCTTGGTATCTCAGTACGAGTATTTATTATAGTCATGACAGACTATCTGGACGTGGGGAGAATCCAGTGGGCCTGTAGCTCTTGCTGGATATTCTCCCCACGTCCAGGTAGTCCATTATTTTATTTTTTGTTAATGATAGTATGAAGGGGCTAGTCTCCGGACACTCTTTGAATTATCATTAGCCAAATTTCTTCAACGCTGAAACTGGTTAAAAAAAAAAAATATTGACTTAGGTATATACAAAAATTCCATTTTTTGGCCAAAAATGCAAAATTTTTTATATTTTGCATGTATTTTTATTTATTTATTATATTTATTTATATTATTTCTATTATATTTGTATTTCTATAATATATTTTTATTTCTATTATATTTGTATTTTTATAATATATTTTTATTTCTATATAATATTTTTATTTCTATATAATATTTTTATTTCTATATTATATTTTTATTTCTATATTATATTTTTATTTCTATATTATATTTTTATTTCTATATTATATTTTTATTTCTATATTATATTTTATTTTATATACATATATATATATATATATATATACACTATATATATATATATATATATAGTTTACCTGTAAATATTTTGAGCAAGTAAAAATCTGGAGTCTTATTTTTCTGGGAAGTTCAAAGTGCAAAGAAAAAGGTTAATTAATACATATAGTAACATTTATATTTTTATTAATGACATGTTAAGTAAAATGTCTTTATAAATTAATATTGCAGTAGCCAGCACAGTGGCCCAGGGCAGTAGTCAGTCCAGGGCAGCAGACAGCACAGTGGCTCAGGGCAGTAGTCAGCACAGCGGTCCAGGGCAGCAGACAGCACAGTGGCCCAGGGCAGTAGTCAGCACAGCAGTCCAGGGCAGCAGACAGCACAGTGGCCCAGGGCAGTAGTCAGTCCAGGGCAGCAGTCAGCACAGCGGTCCAGGGCAGCAGTCAGCACAGCGGTCCAGGGCAGCAGTCAGCACAGCGGCCCAGGGCAGTAGTCAGCACAGAAGTCCAGGGCAGTAGTCAGCACAGCAGTCCAGCACCTCAGTGGTACTGTACAACTTGGTAACAGGACCATCCACAAATCTTCAGACTGACGTTTCTGTACAAAATAAAATCTGAAATTAATACAATTTTTTTTACCAGAAAAATATATATTCATTTTCAATGTTATAATAATGACCAAAGTGTACAAGAGTGGACAAAATTCCTTAAGCATTTGGCATATGATTACTGTAGTTTACAATATCTAATGCCACTTTTCATCACCTCAACCACAAAATACTGTATAGTACTATAAAAAAGAAAATACCATGAAAATACATTAAAATTCTTTTTAGGTAAAAACCAGATCTGGTCAAGTGCAAGGAATTTTGTCCAACTTTAAAACAGTATTCAAATAATGTGTAGGAATTTGAGGAATTCAATTATTCACTAAATTCGTGTGTATGAATTTCCTGGTCAGCCAATCATATATCTCGTTAGACTAGGATTTTACTGTTGGGTATAGTAATCAAAGGTAAAAGTAGCCAAGCAAGAGGTTTTCACAATAAAATTTAATATATTACAGTTTTGTATGAACATATCTAACAAACTGAAGGTTTTATCGCTTATGTTACGACATTAATCCTCTATCTAGTCATTTGAAAACTCCCCACCAAGTTTCATCAGTTAGATACTTATTAGGGCTGCACCATTAAATCATGGACGCCTAGATTCAAAACATTACTAAACTGTATCTGTCGTGAGATTTAAAACTTGCACAAACCCAGATTGAGACCGTTCGCTATAATTTGGGTCATTTTCATCATACAAGTAAAACAGTTTAGTAGTCAATAACTGAGCCAGACTATAAACACTAAATATCAGGCATTTAAACTGAATAATTTATCCAATGGTAGAGTGAACCTGTCCCCAAATACAGTACTGTATATTTTTAAAAGTAGTCTTGTGAAATTCTTGGGACTGTAATAACGGCAATACTAACAAGGGTAACCCATGAATCAAGTGCTCAACTATTGAATTACAGTATTTTAATTTTTTTAAGTCCAAAGGCAAAGAGTAGCTACAGTCACTCATGCACAACAACCCATGTTATCTACTGTACTATTACATAGTTAAATAACATGTACTGTACTGTATATCAAAAAGCATGAACTAATGTTAAATAATTAATTCAACATATCCCAGGTTATAATCTAACCTGTTCCAACACTTGCATGACCAACTGCTAGCTATTGTACTTTGTTCTGGTAGTTACTGAACAACATTTCACTGGTGGTAATACAAGTTAGTTTTAGTAAGGAACTTTTTCAAATATGACAGCAAAGGCACATCAGCAAATATTTCGCTTATTGATGATTAATTGGAAAAAATGTTGCTTTCTGCACGCTGCATTCTTAATACTAATACTGTACTGAAGTTTACACTTACAAGGGGAGTCAACAGCAGTCCATTGTACTGTGTCAGTTGTCTCTGGTGCAGCACATGTCCATTCCCCACTTATCTTTCCTTGCATCCTCCACCGTCAAATCATTCTGGAAGGAATAATATAAATCTAATAAATTAAATTTTCCATGTAGTCACCCCAGTCCAGTAACCTGCTTCAATAATCTGAATCTCAAACCGACTGTCAGCTCTCTGGATAAGAGAAACTACAGGAACCTCTATATTGTCTAAGGTTAGCCACAAATGACGCTCCACTTACGCAACTCAAACATGAAAATAAAAGACTATATAGCCAGGTGTGAAAAGCTTGGTATGACCACACTAATACTGTAACGATACTGTACGTCACTGGCCCGAGTTCAGTTTAGGCAGCCTCTGGAAGGTTACTGGACTTGTGGCAAACTATACATTGCATACCCACAATGCCTATACACAGTACATTATGCCAAATCAGTGCAGGTAACCCCCAGTATACATATGCATGTTAAATTAGTTCAACTACACAAAAGCAAACAAAAATCAGTTTATTGTATCTTTATACATTTGCTTTAAAGATATCAATCAGGATGCACAGACGTTTATGATCTGTATCTAAAAATATTAATTTTCAATGAATGTATTATGTTCTACAGGTTTAGGAAACAAGTCATAACTGGGTGTATTAACAAAACAAATAAGGATAAACGACTCCAGGACTATAGTCTCAATATCCAATAGTTTTGGAGTTCCAGTATACCACAAAATTGGGTAGGGGAGGACTGCAACAAGTCTATGGACATAACCCAATATAAAAACTCATTTGAAGTACAGCAAGTGAAAACCTTCAGGAACGACAGAACTTTGAACATTTACTTTAAAATCATTATCAGATTGCGTTAGATTGTAAATGCACTATTAACTGGACAATTCATTTATGCTCCGTAGATTCCAACCCCAACTGCCATGTGTTTTAAGTCCAGAACTATGATGTATTGACACTACAGTCATGCAGTAATTAATCCTCATGTACATCCCAGGAATACACCCCCAGAATTATGAACGTCCTTCCCAAAACACCCTGTACAGTATATACTGATAAGAGGCTAAGCAGACAACCCAGGTGACCAACACTCACTGAAGAGTAACCCAATAATATACTGTATGGATTCTGCAATGATAAAATTGTTTAAAACTTGACCTTTGTGTATGGGCGTCTGCTGAATAAAATCTATGATGGCCAAATAAGCATTAAAAGTGACTTCCCCGTAGTTAAATATCTGTCCAATGTCAAGTTCAGCACAAGACCCTATTACTGTAATCCTAATCTAATAACCCCTAGGCTTTAGTTAATATACAGTATCTTATCAAGCCTCATTAATCGACAAATTACTCTTAATTTTAATATTTTTAACCCAGATTTTCAACCAGCATGTTAAAATGAGTACCTTAGTGTGAACATATTCACCCATCAGAGGGAGCCATCCTCATTGAATCTTTGGGACGGTTCACTGAACTTCATTCTTGTAAGCAAACTAACAGACAACATGCAATATGATTATAGTAATAATGGTACTGATGGTGATTTTGACTTTGGGGAAGGTAGTAATGGTGGTGAGACTGGTTAGAGGTGGTAATGGAACAAATAAGGGAATTCAATAATACTTAAGGGTATTTTTGAGGCTTAACTAAAATTTGTATCCGATGAGAAGTTGCATTCTCACTCCTGCCAATTTTGTGATCAGTACACTGGCCACCAGAGTAATGCTACACAGCGCCTTTAATGCTGGGCCCACAGAATCATGCAAAAAAGTAGGATTTGAGTTGTACTCGTGTTAATGGTGAAAACTAAAGCTACTTTATGTACTGTACAGACAAAAGTTACGTACACTCTCCAAAAAAGTATCGCCCCCCTGGGCCTGATGTATTTGAAAATGAACACATTAACACGTCTGTTCGGTTGGCATTTCCAATTGTGAGTTACACCTTTTGTTCTTGTATCTGATAATCATGATGTCTGCAGTATACCAACTATTCTCTACATAATGTAATGAAATATGATGAATTGGGATACCATGTGCAAAATCAATAACGTCAGGAGTAACCCCGTTGATTTATGCACCTTAGATACTATTTCAGCCCCATAGGATGGGTTACCAAATAGGAATACAACAATGGGATGAGGGAAGAGATGAGGGGTATCAACTGGCCTGACTTATTAAGGTACAAGAACGCAGACACTACGCTGAATATCATAACTAGTAAAATGACCCATTTGATCGATAAATATATACCCAAGACCAAACCCAGTGCTTCTAGGAATACGAGGGGATCCCTACACATGAACCATGCGGCGGTCGACAAAATTAAGAAGAAAACCCAGAAATTCAAGACGTGGGTTGGGTCAAACGATGAGCAAGACAGGAGGATGTATGCAAGAGCCAGAAACCAAGCAAAGATAGAGTGTAGGAGGGCTGAAAAGGAGTTCCAAAGGCTGGTTGCACGCGAGGTCAAGTCAAACCCAAAGGCGTTTTACCGCTATGCAAAGTCGAAATTGAAAACGCGAGTAGGAGTATCAGACCTGAGGCTTGAAGATGGTAGTTACGCAGATTCTGACCAGGATAAAGCTGAGGCATTGAACAGCTTCTTTTCCTCAGTGTTCACAAGAGAGGATGCAACTAACCTTCCTGCGTTTGAGGACAGACGGTTCGACACAGCACTGACCCACATTGTGTTCACAGAAGAGGGTATTAGAAATAAACTGTCCAGGCTAAAGGTCCATAAGAGTCCTGGACCTGACATGGTGCATCCTAGAGTGCTAAGGGAGCTGTGCAACGAGCTTGCAGAGCCCCTGAAGATTCTGTTTTGTAAATGCCTGGATGAACAAATGGTCCCCAGTGAATGGAAAGTGGCTTATGTGAGTCCTATCTTCAAGAAGGGCGATAGTCACTCCACGAACAACTATAGACCGGTGAGCCTGACCAGCATAATATGTAAAGTACTTGAGAGTATTATCAGAGATGCAGCGATGGAACATCTACTACGAAACAACCTTGTAAAAGATTGCCAACACGGTTTTATGCCGGGGCGCTCTTGCTTGACACAATTGCTCAAGGTATTGGATATTTGGACCCATATTCTAGAACGGGGTGGTAATATCGACAATATTTACCTAGATTTTGCCAAGGCTTTCGACAGTGTACCCCACGAAAGGCTGAAAATCAAACTGGAAGGGTACGGAATTCGGGGAAATGTCCTAGCGTGGATAGAAGACTTTCTACATGACCGCAAGCAATGTGTGGTGATTAATGGCACGAAATCGTCATCTGTACCTGTAACAAGTGGGGTACCGCAGGGTAGTGTATTGGGCCCGCTGTTGTTTGTTTGTTTCATAAATGATATGCCTGACGTTGTACACTCCTCCATACAAATGTTTGCCGATGACGCCAAGTTATTTCGGGAAATTAAGAACCAAGCGGACTGTGAAGAGCTGCAGAAGGACCTCTGTGGGCTCCAGGAATGGTCGAAGGAATGGCTGCTGAGATTCAATGTCACGAAGTGTAAGAGGATGCACCTGGGGCGTACCAACGGTAAGGAGGCGTACCATATGTCCCAACGGGATGAAGAAAATGTACTAGTTGAGACTGTGTGTGAGAAGGACCTAGGTGTGTATGTTGACAATGAGCTGAAGTTCTCGGGCCATTGTGAGAAGAAGGTAAATCAGGCAAATAAATTATTGGGTCTTATAAGAAGGTCGTTCAGATATCTAGACGGTCCGTCCCTCGTGACGATCTTCAGGAGTGAAGTGCTTCCCCATCTGGAGTACTGTCACCCCATCTGGTCCCCGAGATATGCTAGGGACTGTCAGTTGGTTGAAAATGTTCAAAGGAGGGCCACCAAACTGGTGCCTGCACTTCGGCACCTCAGCTACCCTGAGAGATTGGAGCGCCTGAACTTGCCTAGCTCATACTACAGACGGGCAAGGGGGGAACTAGTTGAGGTGTATAAGCATCTCAGGGGGCACTACTCAGTTGAGTGTCCTTACTTGGAGCTGGCGGACGCTCACCCCACAAGGGGTCACAGCTCAAGATTGAAGAAGCCGCAAGTCCAGAAAAACGTGAGGGCAAACTTTTTCGGAGTGAGGGTTGTAAACTCTTGGAACAATCTACCAGAGTGTGTTGTGACGGCACCGAGTGTGAGCTCTTTCAAGAGAAGACTTGACCAACACTGGAGCGGGTTCAGGTACATTCAGGAGCCGGTGCATGCCCAGTATTTGCCAACAGTGCGTGACAGACGTGACCGATCGCCCGGGCGGCTAGCGAGCCGATCTTTTGGTGAAGAATAGAAAGGAAAAGAGACGTGACCGATCGCCCAAGCGGCTAACAAGCCGATCAGTGGCGAAGAGGATAAAAAAGTTACTATGTTTTCATGAACCGAGGTTACAATGTAATCTCTTCCAACGAAATATGAAACATTGGATTTTACATTCATTTTCAAATCTAGTAATTACAGGTGTATTATGATGCCTTATTAATTAGTGACATTATTCCGCATGATTCATGCGGACAACTGAACATTATCTGATACACTACCAGACTATGGAGTCGTCCTCCCATGGGACTGACAGTCACTATGGAGAAATCACATGCAACACAATACCATATCATCGCCCTTCACAACGTGGGCCTAAGCAACAAAGATAAACCTTGAGTTATAGCCATACTGTTATCGGAAAGTGACACTTCTCCGGGTCTGTCGGTGCAAGCTGTGTTTTCAAGGCGTTTCGGGTACTAGTGTTGGTCATAGACTTCGAGCAAGAAAAAACACTATTTGACTGTCGTTTATATATTTTTGGTACATTAATTAATATATATTCTATTAAAGATGAAGCACAGTGATTCACCATAATTACAATCAATGCCAGAAATAATGACTGCCAACCTCAGATACAAGAAGGTGGGCTTACCAACAATGCAGGAACCACAATTAGTGAACTGAAATATTCGTCATTTGTGACATTGTATCTGAGTAAAAGTGCCAATACTTTTGAGAGAGGACACTGCACTAAATATTTAGCACTGAATTATAGCACTTTCTACAATTAGTTCTTAATGGAGCCCCTCCAGCAAGACCACGGGATGATGTATAAAGTTTTAACATCTGGGTTGAGTTAACTACCATCTGCACTGTACTACATTTCACCATAGAAGAAACTCTTACCTCATGAAATTGACAAATTGACGAGCTTGAGTAATGTCAAGTGTCAACATATAAGGTGACCTCGACCATCACTGGTGTGTAGTTCTAATATCTGGTGCAGCAACAGTCTTCCTCTCCAACACAACAGTAACCAACACAAGCAACTGGATCTGTCATCTGGGAGGAAAAATCTCATGAAAGACACTTACAATATACAATTTAGGTAAAAAGGTACAGGTTGAACCTCATTTAATGGCACGGGATTTGCTGGCAATTCGTCTAACGGCAAAATTTAGAAATAAGTGAATTTGGAAGACTCCCCTCCCCCATAAATTCCACTAGTTCCTTTACCTTCTGCAATGCTCCTGCGGCACTGCAATCTGTTTTGGCATTGAAGTCAATTGATGCTGTGCTAGTGAGATTGCCTTAAATTTCTACTTTCTTTGCATCAATTATGGCCTCTAAGCATCCTGTAAACCCTACAGGAGGTGCTAGTGACCCATAGAAAGTCTCCGAACATTGTACAAAAGGTTGAAATATTAAAGGAACTAGACCAGGGAATGTGTTCAGTCAATTTTGTGAAATCTATGGGGTTTATTTTGCGATTTGGACTATATTATATAGTTACGGTATTGCTGCAGTTTCGGCCAATACTCGGCCGACTGTTTTGACTATCCCCAACCTTAAAACCTCATATGAATTATTTCTAAACCCCATTTCAAACAGGGGGCAAAGAATAACAAGTTCAGAAATGAATAAGTTTTTCCATACTTTTTTTAATGCGGGGGGGGGGGGACTAAAACTGGCACTTCCCCCGGAAATAAATGTAAAATTCGATTAAATCACTCCAAAATATACAGTATTAACTAATTTCTAAACTATTAAGACATAGTGGCCGAAACTGCACTTTACCAACCAATCATTATGGTGTACGTTAACTAAACAGCGGCACAATAGTCCCCAATTACATCAATCCCTTTAAAAAATACCTATGCATATGTTCAATAAAAATAACCCCGGAAATGCTATCTTCTTCAATATATTTAAACTAAAAATGATCCATTCTCTAATAAAGTATCTAACAATTTTACCTAGCGTATAACATTCGAGTAAATATTAACAAAACTTACCGTATCTACAAAGTCAAGCCGGAGAGACGACCAGCAGCACCCACACCCAGGATTAAACAACACGTTTAAACTATTAAACAGCGATTTATATACCCTCTCGTTCCTGCCAACCATCGCGAAAAAAATTAGAAACTTCAAAAATGCTACAATTTCTGGATAAAATTGAGGTAAATTGGAAATGAATTGATTAATAGCATTAAATTAATAAACTAATATAACAACACAAGAAAATACGACAAAATACGACAAAATAAATATAAAAGCGAACATTATTATCCTCCAAATTCTCCAGCTCACTTGACAGCGCTGACAAAACATGGCTGCCAACTTGATCACAAAACACGGCGGCCAACAAAAGTGATCTACTCAACTATACCATAAATATTACGACAATTTAAGTAACAATACATTTATTTCCGTATGAGAAGAATACAATACTTTCATATCAATAAAATTTTTAACTCAGAAAACCTTACCTGGGAAAATATAGACGAATGCATTCCTAACTACCGTAATGTGATAAATTACCTTAATGGGTTTTTACCTCATTCACTAATATATAGACATCCACATACAGACACCTCATTGCTGTAATAAAGTAGAAAATAAAACACATACATAATAAGAACCTTTTCTTAAGCTAATTTTATTTAAAATAAGTGCACATTTGCCTTTAGGATAATATTTATAAATACCTTAAGTATACAACATACGGGATTATTTTGTACGTTCGTTCTACCTCTAAAGCGATTATTTCCATCTTACTCTATAGTCTAAAAATATTACAAAGAACTATTTACATTATTTCATATTTTTATATATTATCTACAATATAAAATTATCTAGGTACATGGTGAGCTTATATTAAAAAAACAGTCTTAAAAATAATTTGAGTTCGTAGTCTTGAGTATTTTTTTGGACAGATCTTTTGTTTTAATTGATACTAAGGTGGGCTCTCCTCCGCCTCCCTGCAACACAAAAAAGTCTTATTTTAGTGAATAAATGAGTTAATAGTCATGGAAATTAGTCAAAAGAATAGTCTGTGTTTTTCGATCTATTTGTAATGATGATGAAAATACGCATGAAGCACAAAATAATGAAATAGAATAACACAAAACCGAAAAGACGAAACTGCTAAAACGAGAGAAAATAAAACAAAAATTAAACGATACCTAGACTTACCCCATAGCAGAGCCCCAATACACCAAGTTGAATATAACGAAGGTGACGGGGATAGAGATACGGCCGGCCATTAGAATAAGCAGATGGTTAGGTAAGGGGGCTGGCCGTCTCACTCCAGGGGGATAGTCTGGTCGGCGGATAGGTGGGTAGTCATCCACGGGCTCAGGATCTGTGCTCACGAGTCCATGTTTACGGGACAGGGGACGCTGGCCTGTCATTTGAACCTGGAAGAGTGGGATGGGAATGTGAGTGAGGATAGGCCGTTGTCAATAGAGAGAAGGGTGGGAACTATTCTCTCTCTCTCTCTCTCTTTCTCTCTCACCTCCAACCACAAACACCCGTCACGTACCCTGGTTAGTCCACCGTTGGCCACACCATTGGCTACACCATTAGCCACACCGTTCCTGGAGGGGTTGAGGCCGGTGTCAGAGGTGATATACTCAATAAAGACGTGGCACATGACGACGGCGAAGATAAGAAGGACAGAGAAGAAGAGCCACACGTCCAGCATCTTGAAGTACGCTGTCTTGGGTAGTCCAGCGGTGGTCTGTCAGAGGAGGAGGGAGGGAGTGAGAGAAAGAGTACCGTGTCTTTGTTTTGAGTACTATGACTAATCCCGCCTTTGAGTACGACGACTTTACCTCCTTGAGTACAATATTTAATCTCCTAACCTAACCTAACCAAACAATTTATCTAACAATATTTATCCTCACCTGTGTGTAGAGAGATGAGAGAACGAGGAGAGTGAGGAGAGCGACGATGATGCGAGCGAGGAAGTTAGACAGCCTGAAGAAGAAGGTGGAGTAGGCGGCGACGAGGAGGAAGGTCGTGGGTAGGTAGAGAGTTAAGAGGTAGAATCCATAGCGGCGGGAAAACCTCACTTCAACCATCATTGTAGATTGGTGATTCTCTTCCCCAGCTTTCATGGTTACCCCGTCTATAGAGAAATGGTTACGTTAGGTTATGGTTAGATTAGCTTAAGTTATGGTTAGGTCGCAGGTAGTTTCAGCCTAATCTAACCAAACCATAACCAAAACCGAACCTAATCTAACCAAAGACTCCAAATGTCTCAGAATTAGCCACATGCCGTCACCACTTACCGACGATGTACTCCAGTAGCTGTATGCTCCCGGAGTAGATGGCGTCCCCAGGCTCAAAGGTCAGGAGGCTGGCTGACGCTGACCTGAGGGTGAAGTTGAGACGACACACCTGAAGAAGTCGACGAAGGAGTTAGAATTAAATAGGTTGAAAGGGATGGGGTGAAGGGTAGTGTGAGGTGATGGGGGAAGTGAGGGAGATGGTGAAGGGGGTGGTGATGGGGGTAGTGAGGGAGATGGTGAAGGGGGTGGTGAGGGAGGTGGTGAGGGAGGTGGTGAGGGAGGTGTTGAGTGGGTGGTGAGGGGGTGGTCAGGGGTGGTCAGTACACTACACAATTAACAAAAGACCCAATAATTAACAAAAGGATTAATATCATCTTTGTTAGTTTTGTTAATTTGTCATGTTAGGTATTTGTTCATTGTTACCAGTCAGTCGTCATCATACATTCACATACACATAGATATACAGTATACATCACACGCAGGGATGTGTATATTGTATGGCCATGTATCAGCGTGTATGTATGCGTGTGTACATGATCCTGCACCATGAAAGACCTGACGAAGGTGTACATACGACTCACCTGGACGTCAAAGGGGAACATGCCCAGGTGAAAGCCGCAGGTGTAGGTGGCTGTGTACACCTGGCTCACCTCTAACGTGTTCTCTGACCCCGCGAACACGTTTCCTGTACGAGATGAACACATGTTGAACAGGTGACGGTGAACAACTTAGCCCCGATATAGTCAAGTTCAAGTACAAGTAAATCCATAATGAACACTGCACGGGTCAAAAGAGGTCAAGCAAGGTCACTTACTTTCTTGAGGGAGGTCAGGAGAGCCTGGCTGAGGTTGACCTTCTCTGTGGCACTCCACCCTCGACCCCTCACCCAGGTTGGTGAAGAGGTTGTCGTGGGCGTTCTTGAAAAACACTTGCGGAGTCCAGATGGACAGCGACGCCTCCTGAGCCAGAAGGTTGAGGGAGCTGTCCTTCTTCAGGTTGAGGTACTTGAGTCGACTGTCCCTCCACGATAGACGGAGCTGGAAGGTGGTGGCGAAGGCAAGGTCGACAGTGACGATGGAAGGGAAGGTCACCAGGTTGATTGAGAACCGGATGGGGAGGGGCTTTCTTGGGGAGGGGGGAGGAGGAGGGAGGGAGCTGCGGTACCCCCGGGGCAACACCACCAGGGAACACTGCGCCTCGTCACTCCCGTCTGTGCAGTCCTCCCGCATGTCGCACCGCTGCTGGAGGTCAATGCAGGTGCCGTCAGCACAGGTGAACTGCTCGAGGTCACACACTGAGAGGGTCATGTTGACCACGTCACCGTTGCGTAGTCCACACGCATCGTGCCCCAGCGTCCACGGCTTGGTGCCAAATGGGTACTCGTCCGTGGTGATGGGCGACCAACGAGCCACGGCCCCTTCCTCCTGAATAAGGGTGATTAACATGGGTCTTCAAACGGGAGGGAGATAACAAACATTAATGAGGGAGACAGTACTAACATGCAGGGAGTGATACAGGTGTTAAAGAGGGCAACAGTCTATGATGTATGAGCAAACATTACGACTTACGACAGTGAAGTGAGTGAGAGAGATTTACCTTAAGTGAGGCAATAACCCAAGCCTCGTTTTGAGGATCCCAGGTGATGTCTGAGTGAAAGAAGCCCGCCAGCGCTGGCTTGCCCCCGCTGTCCCCCTCCAACACGTACTGCCTGTTAAAAGGCGAGGACTCACACACCCCAGGACCCCGTAGGTAGAGGATGGAGCGCTTGGGGAACTCGCAGGGGACGCAGAAGGAATATGTGTCAAGGCAGGCGATGTCAGACCAGCGGGCGGGGAAGTTATCGTACAGCATCACCAGGCAGTTCTCCACAGTGCCACCATTAGGCCCCGTCCCCCGCCATGGTCCGTCCCACGTGATTGGCTGACCAGAGAAGTACACCCACTGGCCCTCCTAGATATGGGTCACGATGTTAGATATTATATAAAGTTAGTTTTATCTTATTTTTATGCTTCAGATCACTTCTAAATTAGATAACCGTAATTAAGACAAATAACACATTAGGATAATATTAGCCACAAATAGAAGCGAATTTTATGAGAGAGAGAGAGAGAGAGAGAGAGAGAGAGAGAGAGAGAGAGAGAAACATTCACACAGATCTATCAAGACAGAGAGCCAGCCAACACACCTGGTCGGTATCATGGGCGCCCAGCCACATGTAAGACGCCCCCAGCCCGCCCGAGCAATAAGCCGCCTTCTCCACCGTCACCTGGTACAGCCATGCGTTCTCCTCTCTTGTGATCGGCACGCCCATCTTCCCGCCCACCACCTGTGTGAGGTAGGTGTGAGGTAAGTATATTCTTAACTATTATTAAGGTAACGCTCACATGTCTGAGGGTTGGCAACCGTGGCCCACTACTCCATTATCTGTAGCTCGATAGAATTTACCTTAAAACTAAAATTACCTGAGTGGTGGTGGAGGTGTAACATACCTGACACTGGTGTATGCCCTGGGTGAGGGTGTAGCGGTGGGGGAAGAAGGTCAATCTCCTGGTGGAGGCATCACACACAGCTTCTCGAGGGCGGCTCACCCAGGCCACGCCCCCCAATGTCTGCCACGACTGTCGCGACCAACCGAGAGCGTCTCCCTCCACGTACACCCCGCACGACGACAACTGTGGGGCAGACAACACTGTAAATAAGGTAAGAACAGGACAGGAGGTGATTGTTGTGGTCACTTAGCCGCCGCATCCCTAGAGTTTAATGGACGTCATGCAAAAGAATATCTACAGTGTGAATTACTGACCTGCCTGATGGAGTCCTCGTCGATCACTTCCCTCCACACGTTGAGCTCTGTGAACTCCCCACTGAAGCTCTGCTCTGGCTGAAACCCACCACCAAGAATATCCTGCTCCTGACCTGCCAGAAAAATATCTACATTAGTTAGTCCCTAAATATTTATCGTTTTTTCTTACGTATAATTTTTCCGTTTTCTATTATGATTTTCTTCAATACGTTTCTCACTCATTACTCTGTAATCTCCTCTATGTTAAGTTACGTTACGTCAATCTAGATTAAGTCAAGCTACGTTAGATAAGATGAATTAAGTCACACTAAAGGTTATCATTGACTTTCTGGGTTTAGCAGCCTTCAAACGTGACCCCTGCAGTGTAGTGTTGGACAAAGGGAGAAAGAGAGAGAGGGAGTCAGAGGCACAATACTGAGCCATTACCCTGTCAAGACTACTGCTGAGGCTTCAACACTTGATGGATAAATATTCTAATGGCTCTCACGGAAGTTCCTTTGTGATGAATATAAGCAGTTTAGGGTTTGAAAGTGATTTTAACCCCTTGAGGACGATGTTTTAACCCTTTGAGGATGACTATTAACGTTTAGTGCACACACACTCACACTGCTGTAGTCCTTCTGTACAGTGAGTCTCGTGACGCTAATTTATTTATATACAAACTGTTCAAGAAGCGATGCGGACTTTTTCTAACACTGCAGAGAGAGAGAGAGAGAGAGAGAGAGAGAGAGAGAGAGAGAGAGAGATAAACAGTCAGACATAAACACCACACAAATACATACATACACACACACACACACACACACACATGCATACACACATAAGCGAGGCTATATTAATGTGAGTCACTCCTAGTACTCACCCACAATCAGAACGCCCCCGCCATCCAGATTGCCGAAATCAGGCGGGAAGGAACCATCATCATGTTTCTCGCCATTCAGAAACACCGACCAGTTCCCGGAGGCGACGTCGACGGTGAGGCAGAAGTGGGACCAGTACCTGAAGGGCGTCACCAGACTCGACTTGGCCCATAAGCTGTGTAGAGCCACCTTGTACCCTGACATTCTGTGATCTGTGAGAGAGAGAGAGAGAGAGAGAGAGAGAGAGAATACCAAAATCAATCTTATGATCAAGTACTTAAAAAAAACCACTTAATTATCTCCCACAGGTGATCCAAACACTAAACACTAAACCATTCAACACCTCTATAACAACAATCAATGACCCATCAGTAACCTTTGACCTCAGTCTGTCTTGTAAGGTCATATGACTCAATTAGATACAAAATTACCTCATTAAAAATACATAAATAAGGTCACACGTGGGTCAGAAAATCTCCTAATTGCATAAATTTTTCAGGTGGTGGAGGTGGGCCATTTTGCTAGGTAATTAACGCTCGTTGTTAGTGAGAATAATGTGTCACTCTAATTAGGGGTAATTATCGTTGATGGTTAGGTTTTTTATTATTATTCTTTTGGTGATTAATTAGGCTGGATGAGGTTCTAGTGGGGGTATATAATGATTGACTTTCTTTGTTTTTATTTTAATGTCTTGTTGATCTGTGTCTGTCTGTCTGTCTGTCACCAAAGTGTTTTTTTTTTAATTGATTCGATCTTTTACAATGTCTGTCTGTCTGTCTGTCTCTCTCTTTCTGTCTGTCTGTCTGTCTCTGAGAGTTGATCTGGATACGATAGTTATGCCAACACAATACGAAATCTATAAAAACAATATGGCGGCGACGTACCCATCCTGAGCTCATTGTCCTTCGTGTTATCGACGGCGTAGGATATCAACGTCGACTCCTCCCTGAAGCGGTACATGTAGATCCTGTAGCAGAGAGTGAAGGAGGAAGGGAGGGCGGGGAAGGGGGTCAGTAGTCGAGCGTAGGTCTTGGATGAGGGCTTTCCTGACTCCTGCATTACCAACACCCTACTGGAGGAAGGACCTGGTGGGGGAGAATGATTACTGCCTGAAGGTGCTGTGTGCCCCGGAGGAGTTTGTTGACATATATGATTCCTTCATTTAAAATATAAGACAAGTTGACTACAGTAGGTGATTAAAGATATTTCTACTACGTCTGAGAGAGAGAGAGAGAGGGAATTACCTGGGCGCTGGGCAGTCACCACCATCAGCAGTAGCATGAGTAGAAGCGTCCTCACCGCCACACGCCAACTCCCAGCCATCTTCTATGTCAATCTCTCACCTGAAACGGAATTAATTATATCAAAATCCTCTAATAACTTCTAAATATCAGAGTCATTAATGGTCGTATATATAATGGTATTTATATATTAGAAGATGCCTCAACGGGTTAAGTCGTCGTATTGATAGGGTTAAGTCATCGTATTCAAAGGGTTAAGTCATCGTATTCAAGGGGTTAAGTCATCGTATTCAAAGGGTTAAGTTATCGTATCCAAGGGGTTAAGTCATCGTATTCAAGGGGTTAAGTCATCGTATTCAAAGGGTTAAGTCATCGTATTCAAGGGGTTAAGTCATCGTATTCAAGGGGTTAAGTCATCGTATTCAAAGGGTTAAGTCATCGTATTCAAAGGGTTAAGCCACTTCTTAAACTAAAAAACCCACAAATATTAAACCATTTTAGCTGTATTATTTATCTTATTTACTTATGAGTCTTTGAGAATAAAGGCCAAAGGATTTTTACGAGAGATAAGTAAATTCGTCGTAAGGTCTTTTGAGGAACAGGCCGTGGGTGCGTGATGCCCCGCTTTGAAGGGAATTAGCGCTTGGTCGCCTTAGTGATTCTAGACATTAGTAGAACGAGTCTGTTTCTTTGTGTGTGTCTGTCAGTCCTTCTCTCTCTCTCTCCCTCTGTATATTTATCTATTAATTTATTCATTATATCACTTCGTCGCATATACCATCGACTTGTATGAACATCTAGGAGAACAACATTCACTTCTACGGACAGTTTTCCTACCTACTCCACAACTAAATCCTGTTCTAACATCCTATGGAGCTCCTTACCCTATTATAGTGTATATTTCCAGTATAATATAACCCCTAAGCTGTTTAACTTACCCTAAATTACATATATATATATATTTTTTTTTACATATATTTATTTAGTTTTTGTTAATATGGAGTTAGGCAAGAACTCACTGCTCGGTTTCTGATTTATGGGTGACAAAAACGAGAAAAGACAATCAATAATAGGGGTGTGTGATAGATTTTAGCTCAATAGTAAGTCTAAAACAACGAATATGGTAAACTGTAGTAAGTTATATAAATGGTTCTTGTATTTTAACTGTTTATTCGTAGCCAAAATCAACCACAAATAGGAATAAAGACAAATCTGTGAACAGTATGTATAGCTATTATCAAGGTCAATATTTTGTAGACATTTCCAGCGATTAAACACGAAAGACAATGATCAAACGAGAGATAAACCTTAAAAAACAAACAAGAATCAATAACAATAATTCCATCCAGCGAAAAAAACACGATAGAAAACGGTCATGAGACAGAAAACGATTAATTTGTAAGGACTAACTTAAATAAATCAATAACACCACGCCATTTCCTGCTAATAAACCCAACAACACAAATATATCAACAATACTCACTATCTATAATCAAGGACATATTTTAGACATTTACAGAAACTAAAAATAATTGTAAACATAACAAAAAAAATGGGAGATAGTAAAAAAATAAATAAACTCGCCAACTCGCCATGATGTATTCAGTGATTTTTTTTGCCTCAACCAAGAGCGTCACAGTGGCAGCAGCAGTGAGGAGGTCAGGTGATATAATACAGAGTCATGGATGGATCAGCAGACTCTAGGTTTGCCTACCTGACTCTGCCTCCAGCGACACTGCCACGTGAGGGAGTGTGTTTGGCTGGTGGGGTAGGGGGAGAGGGGGTAGGGGGGATTATATACGCGTTTTGTGACATGCAACTTTTACTCTATCTCTCTCTCTCTCTCTCTATTCCTTCTACGTCACTCCCCTTTTCCTTTCTCCCTCTACATCCATCTCTCCCTTTTACCCTCCTTCCTCCATCAACTACTTCAATAGCAGGAGGAGGAAGAAAGGAGGAGGAGGAGGAGGAGGTAGGAAGAGAAGGATTATCAAGAGGAGGAAGAGACGGAGGAAACCAAGAGGAGCAACAGAAAGGATAGAAGGAAGGAGAGGAGGAGAAGGGGTAGAAGGAAGAGAAGAATCAAAAGGGACAGAAGGGGAGGAGGAGGAGGAGGAGGAGGAGGAGGAGGAGGAGGAAGAGGGTTAGAAGGAAGAAGAGAAGAAGGAGGAGGGTCAGTGACGAGAGATGCCGTGTGTTGTGTTATTGATCGCTCGTTTTGCCCAGCCCGCCACTACACGGGTCATGAGTCGAATGGGCCCCTGGCATAACAGGCCCCAGGCATAACAGACCCCAGTCATAATAGGCCCCAGTCGTAATGGGGCCCCAGTCATAACATCCCCCAGGTTTATCAGGCCCAAGTTCAAATGGGCCCCAGTCATAACAGGTTCAAGTTCAAATGGGGCCCATAATTCTAATGACCCTATCAAAAGTAGGTTCTATTAGCCCCGTGGCCCATTACAACTGGAGCCCATTAGACATGCAAACCTACACAACACAGCCCGAGGTTTATCGTCAACAAATACGACTCCTCTCCCCCACCGATTTTCAGGACGGAAATTGGATGCCGCGTTTCATTTTTTAATATAAACTGCTGGAACTAACTATTAAATTTACGAGCGATTTAGAGGTGCAAGCTAGTGATTTTTTCCTTCCCCTGACGGCCTCAATAACTAGGAAAATAGAGGCTTGCAGGTATAAACACAGTTCTCTATCAACTAGCTAACTGTCTCCTTATTAACGGTGGGGGTGCAAAGGCGTAGTGGAATCGGGTTGAGGCAGAGAGATACTGGCTATAACCTCGTAAGAAATCTTGTTAAGGTCTTGTTCTCCCTATTGCTGGAACCTACACCCTCCCTCCTATACATCTCATACTAACAATAACGTCTTGTTCTCCCTATTGCTGGAACCTACACCCTCCCTTCTATACATCTCATACTAACAATAACCACAACAATCACTGGGTGGAACTTCTTAACACTACAACTCCGTGATGGCGGGAAACACGGGTGCGTGAGGTGATGAGGCCTCGTAAAAAAAAAAAAAACATTAATTATCTACCTGTGTACTTCTTCTTCGTGTTATTTACGGATTATGGCGGCGTCCTTTAGGAGATTATCATAAGAGGTAGTATGGAGAGAGAGGTGGAGAATGAGGGGGGGGGGGAGAGATAGAAAGAGAAGGAAGGGAATTTTCTTGAATGGGAATCAGTTGTTGGGCTCAGGCGTGACGTCACCAATAACAATAATCAAATGACGTCACGCCTCAAGCCGGATTATTGACTTCCTAATTGGTAGACAAACAATGACGTCACGTATAATTTGAAAAATCCGGCGAAATAATTTATATCGAGTAAACGTATCTATATAAGGTAGAGACACACACAGGTGATAAACACGACGTTCTGTTGACACGTGAGGTGAGGGAGTGGTAGGTGGCGTGAGTATAAACCAACTTATGGCAACGCAGAGTAAATTGTTGTGACCCAGAGAGTACTATTACAACCACCACAACTACAACAATAACAACAACCACAACAACTACAACAATAACAACAACCACCACAACTACAACAATAACAACAACCACAACAACTACAATAAAAACATCACCTCAACGGCCGAGAGTTAATGACAAAATTATGCAGATATAATCACTGCTACACTGCTCTTACCATTAACATTATAATCTGTTTCTGTGACTACTTGTGTGTGTGTGTCTACGAAAATCCGTGCGTGTTGACAAGGTGTTATCACGCGTCTACGACATATGTACGTGTTTACCTTGTTTGTGTGCGTGTGTATGTGTGTTTACGCTTATATAAACATACGCACGCATATATGTAATTATATATAAAAAAATACGACACACACACACACAGTGCCAACTAGTCGAGGGAGATCAGTTCGTTGTTATGGTTTGATTCTCTTTTGTTTTCTTCTCCTCCTTCTGTTCGTTTTCCTTTTAGATCTCCTGTTTCTGTCATCCTTCCCCTTTTCTTCCTCCTCTTCGTCTCCTTCCTTCCTCTTCCTTCTCTCCCTACTACCTCCTCTTCCTCCTCCTCCTTCCAGCACCCCCTTCGCATACCACAGGACCCCAAAGAGAGAGAGAGAGAGAGAGAGAGAGAGAGAGAGAGAGGTGTAATACATCCCTACTCTCCATCATCCCCGTGTAGTAAGTTGACGTCGTTATAAGATAGGAGGGAAAAACAGCACCAACCAGCCCGCTATCCCTTGTCCACCCCAGACTCCAATACACTTTCCACAATCATTCACAAAACACTACATTCTATCAGCTCATGTTCGTCATATGAAGGTCAGGTCAGGGCACGACATCTTTGGTTAGGAGACAGGTGACCTACTGACCTAATGCATGTGTTGTGGTGACCTTAATTTAGCAGAAGGGTCAGCGTGTGTGTGTGTGTGTGTGTGTGTGATTAAGGCAGGTATATGTAGGTGTGTTGTGTGGGTTAGGTGTTTACAGGTGTGTGTGTGTGGTGAGATAGGTTGGAGGAAAGAGGGAAGAGGAAGGAAAGGTGGAAAGAAGAAAAGAGGGGGAAGAGGGATGATAGAGGAGGAAGAGGGGGAGGGAATAAAAGGAGAGAGAGGGAGGAAGGAGAAAGATGAAGGAGAGAGAGAGAGAGAGAGAGAGAGAGAGAGAGAGAGAGACGTGTTGACGTTGATAATATAACATAAACTACGTTAGTGTCTAAAACCATTGATTCATTTTCTGCCTCACCGTAACACAGGACAAAGACGAAGGAAGAGAAGGCGGAAGAGGAGGAGGTAGGGAGAAGAGGAGGAAGGGGAGGAGGAGGAGGAGGAGGAAAAGGTGGTAGGGAGA